CCCCCCCCCCCCGGTTTCTCTCTCTATGTGTGTGTGCGTGTATGACCTACACAGAAGAACTCAGTCCATACTCTATCTCACCATGCTTTTTTCCATCACTATCATCACAAACAACCACCAAACCGAAATCCTCACTTCCACACAACCTTGTCTTTACCTTGATTCATCTGCATCTTCAGGAATCAGTAGCGACGAGGTTTTCTAAAAATGAAAGAGACAAATTAATTGAACAACAGGAATAATACAGATTTCACTTTGGGATTAAGGATAGCATATATATATATATATATATATATATATATATATATATATATATATATATATATATATATACACACACACATATATATGTGTGTGTGTGTGTGTGTGTGTGTGTGTGTGTGTGCTGCACAATTTCTAGCAATAGAAACAGGTCTTGCTGATGTCAATGGACACAAATATCATTCTTATCTTGTGGCTGATATCACAGTTGATTAATTTCTTTAGCAACTGTTTTTTATTTCATTAGAAATGGATTTTCATGTGCAGCAGGCATTCAGTTCACAGAAAAATGAGCAGGTTAGACTCAAGGTTGAGCTCAAGAATTACAATCTCCAAACTAGCAGACTCAAGTGAGAACTCGTAGGTAGTTTCATAACACTTGCGTTCGATCTCAAGGTTGGCATTTCAAGCTAAGCTGAGCGAAGCTAGTCGTTAGTGATCGACTAGAAACCCCTCAATTCTAGCTCTTCTGGACTTATATGATGGCCAGAAGAATTGAGGTAAAGCAAAAGCCAAAATATATCAGCTGATAATTATAAACCCAGGATTAACCACTATCCTGTCCAAGAACTCCCTTCCCCTTTCTCTCTCTGATCTCCCATTTCCTCCTCTCTTTTTTCTTTTAAGCAAGCATCAAGAAACAAACAAGGAAACTTGCTAGATATTTTACTGTAGAACTCTCTCTCTCTCTCTCCTCCCCCCCCCCCTCTTCTATGCAAACTTTAAAAAAGACATATCATAAGTGCTGACTCCAATAGACTCTGTCTCACTATTTGAGCATGCTTTCTTGTTTTGCAGGCACTAACTGCTCTAGGACAACACATTTACCTCGCTGCACCATAAAGGTGTTAAAAAGGAGGGGAAATAAAGAAGAGAAGACCGACATCCTCACTTTAAAAAGCTTCAAGATCCAAAGTAGTGCAGTTAAAGATTTAATCTTATCTCCAAATTGGAGACTGCAAGCTTAAGTCAATCAGCATCCAAGACATGGCCATGACAAGAGAAAGTAAAAATGATTAAGAAAAGCTTCTACCCTACCAGGAAGCAGGACATTGCCAGTACATAAACAGTATAAAAGTTCTGTTTATCTCCAAATGGAAGACTGCTATAAGTCAGTCAATGTTTAAGACATAGACATGATCAAGAGAAAGTAACAACGATAAAAGCTACTCTCTTAACTTCCAGGAAGCAGGGCATTGCCAGCATATATACAGTAATTAACAGTTATGTTTTGGTGGTAGTGCGTACAAAATAATTCAGAGATGCAAATATTAATCGCAGATAATTTACACGAGAAACTTGTTTCTATGCAACTATTTTGGGTGATAGAAGAAACTCACGGAGCAGTAAATTTTGGGAGGCAATGGTAGGAGTTGACAACAATTGTGGGGACTGACAGGTTTAGTAGTGGTCAAATGACGTCTGGACAATGGTATTGAGTAGTACAATTTTTCAAGATTCTTTGTACCCTCCAATAAGTCATTTTTGTTCCTTTAGCACAAAATGTACCTTTTCCCATGATATTAAAACAACTAAACACTAGAAACTAGGGATATATTCGCACAAGAAAACTTCTTCCTCCTAACAAATCAACCCTGGTCTTGATTTGACTTGCTTCCTAGTTAATCAGCCAATATCAAACATATGGAGGAAAAGAGATCCTAAAACCTAGAAAGTATGTAAAGTAGGACTAAAAGAGATGATGAGGTTCCAGAAGTATGAAGACTGCCGCCTATAAAGTATCATCCTCAAACTCATAGGATTCAGATTTTCCATAAGGCCTTCAGCCTTCCCCTGTTATTAATCTGTGATCGTAACAGAAGCAAGAAATCAGATTCCCAAACAAATAGTGGGTTGCTAAATGGTGAAACCATATTGGTTCAAGATGTAGGCGATCATTCCCACACTAAATGGTAACTTTGCTACCATGCTGACTCCATATTACCATTCCGACCTTAAAATTTATAAAGCAATTAATTGCATTATATTTTGGGGAATAGATTTTCTATTTGGTACTGGAACCTAAATTAGTGATATCTTATCTTCACAGATGGTTAACCATCAACAAGAGAACTCAAGTTATACTCTGCGAGTAGTGATTTGCCACGTGACTAAACCAACTAACGCTTGCTGAGGAAACCAGCAATATGCACGTGAATATTTACTTGGTGATTTCACTTACGTAAGAATTTACTTGCGTGTAACAAAATCTTCTCTAGTAATATATACAAAACATCATCTCTTTTTGCTTTCTTCCTTCTTCTTTTTTTGTGGATTAATTTTACAAAAACACATCTTACGCTGATTCTTTAAGTATAATCAAAATTCAGGGAATACAATAATGTAAAATATATTAGAAAATGGTCAATTACATACTTCTGAACAGATGGTTCTCCAAGCTTCCTCGAGGCATAAATTCATAAACTAGCAGCCTTTGATCATCTTCAATACAATAACCAATCAGTTTAACTAGATTGGGATGAATGAGGTCACCAAGAAAATTTACTTCAGCCTGCCAAATGAGAAAATACATCAACATAAACCAAGATGAAAATAAGAAAAAAACAAAAACTAAACAAGAAATACACCATAAGCTTTTAGATAAAATCAGAGAGCAGCAAACCAGCCATTCTTTGTGACCCTGAAGCCCATCATGATTTAGAGTTTTCACAGCAACTGTAAGCCCTGTCCCTGGTTTAACAGGTGCTGTCCCATTCTCTTCAATCCACCCCTTGAAGACGCAGCCAAAACCTCCTTCACCAAGAAGGGATTCTGGTCTGAAGTTTCTAGTGGCCAGCTTCAAATCATTGAATGCGAACTTCCGAAGCCGTGAAAACACTTTAAGTTCCTCTTCGAGCTTGGAGGTGGAAGCATTACTTTCTGCATTACTTGTGGTCGTGGAAGAAATAATTGGAGCAACAGTCTGGTCTATGCTTGTATCATTTGTGGATTTACTTTCTGCAAATAATGATACAAGATGTTAGCACCATGGGTACTAATTACCATTAAAGCATATATGCTATTTAGATTAATCTTGGAAAGCCCCAAACTTTTCCTATCAGGATAGAACAAAGTGTTTAAAAAAGTCTGAAGCAGTCCAACCTAAATACATAATGAAGTGAGTAAAGGTGCAACAAATTCACATGATACATGTGCATACAGAATTATACTTAAGTCTATAAAGTTTCTAATGGTTTATTGATCTGTTCCCGTTACGCCAAGAGAACTATGATTCCATTGACATATTGATTTTTTTTTTTTCCAAATATTCAGCTGGTTTATGCCTGTGTCATTAGTAGATAATGATTTATTTGATCCATTGCGCTAATCTATAACTAGATGACATTAGTAGTCTAATTACAATCCCTTCTCCTTTAGCAAACATTAGAAAACAGATAAGATATTAGGAGTAATAGTTTTTTGATAAGTGAGAAATCCCTGAGGACCATCTAGCACGCAGTCCAGAATGCGGTGGATAATGGGACCGCTTCTCTATCTTTCTTCATTTAAATGTACTAGGCTCTCTAGTCCTCGGCAAGATTCGAACTCGTGATTTGCGCCAAATCCACACATCACGATGCGCTCTTACCACGAAACCAAAGCTCTAGCACTAGACAACATATTAATTCTATCAAATCACGCTTGTGAATTACTAATTTGAAATCATAAAATGTTGAGTGTTCGGTATTCACAAGGATCCGGGGAAAATATTACGTAGCAGTTTCTTACAAATTCTTCACTAGAAAATCATATCAGCAGCTGAGAGAGGATGATATATAACAGAAAACCAAGCATTGTTTCATCTCTTGCCATTGATTGTTGATTTCACATTAAGTTTACCTAGCAATTTTGACATAACAGAGGGGTATTTTTAATTCAAGAATATTGGCAAACATACAAAAGAAAAACCCAAGAATGACAAAAAAATACTGCACCAACAGCAACTTCAATTTCGAGAACACAAACATTGTTACCCTAACAACAGTAAGTGGGGCTTTGTAAAAAGGATAGTACCTAGGTTTGTTCTAGTAATGCCTCAGAATTCTTTACAAGGTATGATCAATCTTCAAAGAATAATGCAATTAAAACTTCAAAGCATAACATGGAATGGAACTTGTAAAAAGTGAGTGAAGAGTTACCGCAGTGAGTGCTGATGCCACTGATGGAGCTATCAACTTTAGATCTTGAAGAAATACAGCTACCAATAAACCTCAACTTTATCCAACAACCACTCTCCTCCTCTTCCCCTTCTTTTTTCTTCCTTCCCTTTGATTTCTCTACCTCCCAAGACTCCCCCTTTACACCATCAACACCTAAACCCATAGTTAACAATACCAAAAATCATCAACCCCACCACTGTTACACAACCTAAAAATTGTTCTTTTTCCAAACCTCTGTCCAGTAATCTCCAAAAACCCTTACACAATTGAACCACAGTTCCCTGACATGACCTAAATAGAGAATGAAAAAGGAATTCCAAATATCTTCAGAACCAAATCCTCCAATAAATATACAGATGAAATAGCTCAGACCCAGTTCAAAAGATCAAGAAAACATGACACTGAAAGCCTCCAACAGAGCTATTTTTGATTCAGATCACAAGCAAAGCAAAGAGCACTGTACAAAGCAAAGCTGGTACTTCAGATAATCCCACTTCAAAAAGAAATCTCTGCTGCCCAAAGATATTGAAATCTTAACAAATATGCTGCTTGACCAGTTCCTGGCTCCTTAATATAAAAAATAAAAAATAATATATATATATATATAGAGAGAGAGAGAGAGGAGAGTAATATATGTCTAGTTACAGGAATGTATGTCTGAGTGGGGTATAATTGGATAACAAAAGTTACTATAAATTGACAAAATCCTGAAAATAAATATATACTGTGTATATAAAAAGTTTTGCAAAATCATAAATTGGTGTCAGTCCTAATAACAAGAAAAATTACTAGTAACCTTGTAAAAGTTAAGGTTTAATATTTTTTTAATTCTGATTAAAAATATATATTTGTACAGAACATGTGTAAATTTCAAAGAACCTTGTAACTTTAATAATCTTAATTGATCATTTCAAGTTAGTAATAGACAAATTGTCTGTCAGACCATATAATGTCTTATATAATCACAATCCAATTAATTTGAAAATGAGGTTTGAAAAAGAATTCTATTCAGCTTTATTATAGTAATAAAATATATTATAGATTCACATATCATGTTATTATGCAATTATGATAAGTTAATAAAATTATAAAGTATTTATCGAGCTTATCTATCTATCTATATTATTATAAAAGTACGAGTGTTAAATGCTAAATCTTGAACGATAAAAATATTTTCGAAATATTGATTGACTTTTATACCCCTAAAATCTAAATTTTATTTTTCAAAAAGATATAATAAGTATTGGATAGAATAGTAATATTAACTTCATCAACTATGTCAATTGTGATTCAACTAAAATTCTGCCTCCCTAAATTTTGGTCAACTGGCCATGAATTTGAAATCGTTTCCAATCAAATTGACAATTGTTTTCATTTCAATTAACCCAAAAACTTACAATCCTTTCTCTTTGAGTTAATACCCTAAAACCCCCTTAAACTATAATATTTTTGTCAATTTCCTACTCAAACTATTTGGTGTCTCCCAAACCCCCATGAACTATATTATCCTTCATATTAAAACCCCTTTGTCGCTGACCTGGCATAGCGTGTGTAAACACTCGCTAGGAAGCGCGTGACAGCTGAAAACACCCATCAAAATGGCTCATTTGAAAATAATGGCTAATTAATCTAACACTCTTTCCCATTTAATTTTTTAATAAATTTTCTCCTTATTTCAGATACATCTAACTTTCTTCCTCATTTTTTAACTGTTCTTCCTATTTTTTTAAACCTTTCCTTTATTTTTCACCTTCTTCTTCATTTTTTAACCTTTTTTCTTCAGTTCTCTGTATGAGTTTCCCCTGAAACATTTCTCCCTCTCTTGATTTATTCTCTTTCTTGTTATAGAGCCCGTTTAGATTAGTTTATTGTAAATAGCTGATAAGCTTGAAGTGCTGAAAAATATTTTTAAGTGATGAAACTGATTTTCAAAACGAAAAATGGTTCAAAATGCCCCTAAACTATTGGAAAAGGTTTAAAAATACGCTTCATCCACCTATTGGGCTAAAAATACCCCTCCATCCACCTTTTTGGTTCACTTATGCCCTTTGACCGTTAGGTCAATGCTGAATTAAAAATAATTACTAAAAAAATATTTTGCAAAATATTTTTATTTTTTTTAAACTAATGCACCAGTAGTCCACTAATTTAGTAAAGTCTTTTTTTTTCCGGTTATTACAAAAAACAATTCAGTTTTTACAAAAAAATATTTTTTTTCATTTTTTTGTAAAAACTGAAAAAACAATTTTAAAAACAGAAAAAAAAATGTTTTTAACAAAAATATTTTCGTTTTTTAAAAACGGAAAAAAATATTTTCAACAAAATATTTTTGTTTTTGAGAAATGTATTTTTTTTAATTTTTTTAGTTTTTTAAAGCATTTTTTTTTTGTAAAAACTAGAAAAAACAAATTTGTAAAAACTGAAAAAAAATATTTCGTTTTTTAACAAAATATTTTTGTATGTTGAAAATATTTTTTCCAGTTTTTAAAAAACGAAAATATTTTTGTTAAAAACAATTTTTTTCTATTTTTATAATTTGTTTTCAATTTTTACAAAAAAAATGCTTTAAAAAAATTGAAAAAAAAGAAAAAAAATGTTTTTTTGTAAAAACTGAATTGTTTTTTGTAAAAACTGAAAAAAGAAGAAGAAGACTTTACTAAATTAGTGGACTACTGGTGCATTAGTTTAAAACAACAAAAATATTTTACAAAATATTTTTTTTAAGTAATTATTTTTAATTCAGCATTGACCTAACGGTCAAAGGGTATAAGTGAACCAAAAAGGTGGATGGAGGATTCTTAGCCCAATAGGTGAATGAAGGGTATTTTTAAACTTCCAATAGTTTAGGGGCATTTTGAACCCTTTTTCGTAGTTTATATACTAATTCATTACTACAAGAATAGAGAAAAGTATATGAATTGAATAATAAAGAGACCTAACAAACGTTAAAACATGAAGTATTTTCATATGAAATGTTCTACGAAATCCACTTTCATGACGCGATGATACTGTCCTCAACTTTTAAAATATAATTAATGAATAGAGTTTTAACGAGTTATATGGTTAATGATGAAATTTTTTATAATCTTTAAAGTTTTACACACTATGGCACAAGAATTGTGGGGCGATGTGCACAGATAGCCACTAACAGCTTATGTCTTTATTTTAAAGCCAGCGTTTTAAATGTCTTTAGTCTTTAGCCACTGGTTTAATAAACTTTAACTGCTCGGACAAAAATACCCTTCTGCTCATGTCCTTAACTTCAGGACTTCAGGACTACATGTCCTTAACTTTTGAACTTGAAACTCTAAGTTCAGGACTTCAGGACTACATGTCCTTAACTTTTGAACTTGGAACTCTAAGTTCAGGACTTCAAGGTTACATGTCCTTAAGTTTTGAACTTGGAACTCAAACTTCAAGACCAAGCGTCCTTAACTTTTGAACTTGTAAGTCAAAGTTAAGGAACTATTGTCCTTAACTTTTGAACTTGTAACCGTAAGTTAAGTACTGCTTGTCCTTAACTTTTGAACGTGTAACTGTAAGTTAAGGACTGTCTGTCCTTAACTTTTGAACTTGGAACTCTAAGTTCAGGACTTCAAGGTTACATGTCCTTAAGTTTTGAACTTGGAACTCAAACTTCAAGACCAAGCGTCCTTAACTTTTGAACTTGAAATTCTAAGTTCAGGACTTCAGGACTACATGTCCTTAACTTTTGAACTTGGAACTCTAAGTTCAGGACTTCAAGGTTACATGTCCTTAAGTTTGAACTTGAACTCAAACTTCAAGACCAAGCGTCCTTAACTTTGAACTTGTAAAGTCAAAGTTACGGACCTTATTGTACCTTAACGTTTGAACTTGTAACCGTAAGTTAAGTACTGCTTGTCCTTAACTTTTGAACGTGTAACTGTAAGTTAAGGACTGTCTGTCCTTAACTTTTGAACTTTAAACTCAAAGTTAAGGACTGCATGTCCTTAAGTTTGAACTTGAAACAATAACTTAAGGACTGCACGTCCTTAAGTTTTGAACTTGAAACTATAAGTTAAGGACTGCCTGTCCTTAACTTTTGAAACTGAAACTCAAAGTTAAGGACAGAAAGTCCTTAAGTTTTGAACTTGAAACAATAACTTAAGGACTGCACGTCCTTAAGTTTTGAACTTGAAACTATAAGTTAAGGACTGCCTGTCCTTAATTTTTGAAATTGAAACTCAAAGTTAAGGACAGAAAGTCCTTAAGTTTTGAACTTGAAACAATAACTTAAGGACTGCACGTCCTTAAGTTTTGAACTTGAAACTATAAGTTAAGGACTGCCTGTCCTTAACTTTTGAAATTGAAACTCAAAGTTAAGGACAGAAAGTCCTTAAGTTTTGAACTTAGAACTCAAACTTCAAGACCAAGCGTCCTTAACTTTTGAATTTGTAAGTCAAAGTTAAGGACCTATTGTCCTTAACTTTTGAACTTGCTTGTCCTTAACTTTTGAACTTGTAACTGTAAGTTAAGGACGCTTGTCCTTAACTTTTGAATGTGTAACTGTAAGTTAAGGACTGTCTGTCCTTAACTTTTGAACTTGGAAATCAAAGTTAAGGACCTATTGTCCTTAAGTTTTGAACTTGTAACTGCTGTCTGTCCTTAACTTTTGAACTTGGAAATCAAAGTTAAGGACTTATTGTCCTTAACTTTTGAACTTGTAACTGTAAGCTAAGGACTGCCTGTCCTTAACTTTTGAGTTTCTTAGCCTAAGTTCAGGACCTATTGTCCTTAACTTTTAATTTATTTTAACACAAAATAAATTAAATGTAAACACACAAAAATGGCTCCTCAGAAAATATGGTAAAACTGAAGAAGAAAAAAAAAGAATACGTGCAATTATAAGTTGGTAAAAAAGAAAAAACTGGTTTCGCTACTTGTAAGTAATAAATTCATGTAACCTATTTCTCCCCGTCCTTTTGCAATGATGTTATGTTATTGGAATCCATGATTATTATAATTGGTTATAACTCACTTGGACACATAAGCAAGCTTATCCTATGTCATCGCTCCTCTTTACAGAGGACGAGCAGATAATGAAACAAACATCAAGAATTTGATGAATAAAAAATAAAAAAATCTCAACTTTATGGCAATAAATGGAGTAGTCCACAATATTATAAACCATGTTTGAAAACTCTTACATTAATAATGAAGTACAAGTGTATCCATCCCGAAGGTCGACTTGCCAAAGGAACAACCTCAGCCAAAGGAGTGGACAAAGGAGTTGGCAATGGAGAATTTCTACAAACTGGACAACTCGATGGTGAGGAAGACAAACATTAATTTTGGATTATGGAGAAGGCACGCAGAGAGAGAAGCAAGGGTTTGGGAAGAAAAACAAGGGAAGAAAGGGTAAAAATGTCTTTTCATATTCATTTTAATAGGATAGTGGCTATTTTTGCTCAACATTAGAATTGCTGGATAAAAAATAAATACCACCTTAAATAGTGGCTACCCCATGCCATTTCTACAGAATTGTGGGACGAGCCCGTCCTTAAGGCGGTGGGCCCATACCAAGTGCTCATTCGCGTGATTGGGGTAAAAATAGCACGGTATAGCCAGTTTTCGGAC